ACTTGAAAAGGAAGAAACAGACCGGCGGTTCTATCGAGAACTTACAGCCCCTGCGCCAAGCTCACCAGTGATTACTGTGGCTACAGTTAAACCTCATTAGTAGGTTCTTATAGAAAGGACACCTGTTACTTTTTATCTTCCCCACTCCCTTTTCGACCCCGTCCCCCACACCCCTTCTTCCCTCTCGCCCTCCCACCTCCCCCACCTTCATCCCCTCGCCCGCCTCCTCCTCTCGCCCCTCACCGCGCCCCAACCCCTCGTCCCGTCGCCCCACTCCCTCTCCTTCGCTCTCACCAACGATACACACTACAAGGTACATCTACATGTACTAACTCGACAGGTACCCATGCTCGCGGACGAGACCCACACTCGGCAAGTCCCCATCCCTCTCCTCCCCTCCCCCCCTCCTCCCTCTCTCCGCTCCCTCGCTCTCTCCCTCCCTCCCCCTCCCTCCCCCTCCCTCTCTCCTCGCTCGCTCTCTCCCTCCCTCATTCCTCTCCCTCCCCCTGCTCTCATCCTCCTCGCTCTCTCCGCTCCCTTCATGTCCCTCCGCTCCCCCTCGCCTCTCTCCCTCCCTCTATCCCTCCCTCCCTCCTCTCTCATTCCTCCCTCCCTGCCCCACCCCCCTGGCCTCGCCTTCGCTCTTACCGGCTGCGCATAGGTAAGATGCTCGCGACGAGACGACCTCGCACGTCTCCCTGATGACCTGGCAGTCCTCATCCGTGTAGTTTGTGATATCCAACTCCTCCAGTACCTGCTTGACGTTCGTGTAGTCTCCTGGCGGGTCGCTGCGTAAGTAAAGCCCAGCGTGCACACGTAAGTAATTTTACTCAAGTGAAATGACGCATGCGTCAAAATACTAAACGAAAATCCGCCGCACACGTGAGTATTTTGACGCATGCATCATTTTACTTGAGTAAAATGACTCACGTGTGCGCCGGGCTTAAATTGACTACGTCACGAATTTTCTATGGTAAAATTTGTAAAATTTTTGTTGCCATTTTTTTACATTAAAAGTAAGAACTAATGGGACTAAACGTATCGTCAAATTCTTACCTGATAAGATTGTTTCTCAACTAATTAAAAATCCAAAAAACCTGGACGATTTGATATTATGTTCCTGACATTAATTGCTTGCTATGGGCTATGTATGAGTCACGAGTGTATATTCACATCAAACAATATAGTAAAATAGGAAGTATAATGCAGCAATTTAACCATAAAAAAAGTGAACAGAATCACTTATATTTTGTAAAAAAGTGAAAATATTTATTTTTATTTTTACTAATTATGGTGATGTAATCCCTTTAAGGAAGAGGAGGTTTATCAGTGAGCAGGCGCTGCCACTGTGTTAGACCCGATACACGCATTCATGGATTTATTGTGAGTTACGACTACTCCGACTATTAACTATCGCCACTATACCAAAAACATTACATTCTCTCTCTCTCCATCGTGCTCACTCTCACGTGCCCTCCCACCGACTTGCCTTTCAATTTCAGATATGTATTTGGTGTAGAAATTCCCGCGCGTGCTTAGTTCCTCTGAGAGCTCGCCGCTGAACAGTAGCTTCTCTTCGACAAGTTTCACGAGAACTTGGCGGGCCACCTCTCCCATGTACATGCCAGATATCATCTTCTCATATCTGAAACGAGACCATACACTCACTGTACACTCTGCGTCAATAACCAGTAGTCTGTACTGTATACAGGTAAGTATTCTAAGAGAAACTGGCCACTGTGGTTGCAGCAAACCTTGTTGCAACGACATGTACTGGTTGTAAACTGTACGGATCAGTATCCCTTCGATATAATTTCGACTCAACTACACAATCAAATTAGAATCTAAACTGCATACGAATTCAACTACATTCTTAAATGTGTGATCGACCTACGGAAATTCTGCTACACGATCAAATTCTCGATTACATGAGATTTCACGCCTACACGTCATTCTGTGTTAACTAAACAGTGGCTGGTACCCACAGCTGCTTTCCTCGATTAAGTGTCCCCTTGTCCACCTCGTGGTCGAAAGAAGTCAACATAAAGTCCAGGTCACCATCGTCACCGAATGCTCCCCATTCTGTGTTTATTATCACCTATAGAAATATGAAGACGTTGTTGACACGCAGCAGACAGCAAGACGTGCGAGGTCAGAACTACTCAATACCCTTTCATCGCCATAAGACAAATGTAGAGAGAAGACGTCATGGTTATTGGTGCAAGGTTAGTCTCTGGTATATATAGTAGCTAGACAGGCCTTCAATTTTAATGTCTGGTTTAAATTTACACGATTTCTTGTTTTATAACTTTTTAATTCTTCTCAACGAGGCAGAAGACTGACAACTCCTGGCAAATACATGACCATGAATGTTTGCCCGTACGATTTTGCGTCCTCACCTCTTTTGGCTCATTGTAATCTTCATTCCATAGCTCAACATTGTCCAATTGCTCCATATAACAGGCATTTGTGCCTGTGCCTGTACACAGCAATATAATGTAATGTAATGTATGCAATGCAGACAGTGGTGCCATCTGTGGGAAATAGCGAGTAATCTGAGACATGTGGTGCAAGTGAGCATGAGTAAGTGTAGAAGCCCATTTACCCTAACATGAAGAATGTCACTCCTACCAAGCTCCATGTCTGAGCGAACAACAACCACGTGTGCCAGATACTAAGAAGCCCTCCGCTGCTTCCCAGATGACTGAGTGACCGAAATGTACCCCCTCATCTAGTAAGGAGGAAGGCAACTACCAAGGAGTGCTAATCGTTACTAATTAAGTAATTTCATCATTACTCGCATCACGTCTCAGAGTACTTGCCGATTCCAACAGATCGCGCCACCGCATCTCTCAGGCACCGAGTTTATATTACTCACTCCAGTTACCATAACTTTTATTGCATTACAACTATATAATAGACACCATGTTCCATCCACGCGGCATGCTGATGGCACAACTGCATGGCTTCCCCCGCTCGTAACAAGACAAGGACCATAGTCCTTAACGCTACGCAAAGTAACGATCGAATCCCCGCTCTAGTAACAAGAAACATTTACAGGTTGAAAACGCCTCGACCGAGTGCCGCCTTACACCTAAACCGACTCGTCCGTCGACGAGAAACGCGAACGTAATTAAATCCGCGAGCGTTCCTACAACTCGTACCTATGATGAGTCCGATCAAACATTTCGGATTTCTGTGTGCGACGGCCATGAGCGTCCCGACGGTGTCGTTAACGAGGGCGACGACGTCGATATCGTACTCCTGCTGGCAACAGACAGCAGGTTCTGACGCCTGGGAATAGGACAGCACATTCACTAGTCTATCAGACCATCAAACACCACACGAAAAACCACACGGTACGTAGTCACAAAGGGTAAATCGTAGTCATAAGTAGAGAGGTATTAGAAGTACGAAGAGAAGTAGTAGTAGACGCATTCGTAGAAGAAGACCAAAGAAGAAGAAAATGAAGAAACTGCACAACGAGCATCACATGACTTCATCGAAAGACCGAGAAGACGTGAAGACAGAACGTGACACAGAGTGCAAATTCGAGGTGACAATTCGAGTGCAATTCGACGTGACAAAACGTTGCAACGCATGCAGCAGAACGCAGCGGCGCCGACGACGACGACGACGACGACGTATCGTGCGAACGTACCCTCTTTCTCGCGACGGCTTCACGCAGGAGCCTGACGACATCCTCTCCTTCCACGCCCGAGCACCTGAAACCCTTCGTCCACTTCACCAGCCTGGCTGCCGTCAAGCCCTCTTGCCGGCAAGGGAACGAGAAGGTGAAGCCGAGAGGGAGGGTCTCGTTCTCCAGCTTGTGCTCGCGGATGAACATCGCCAAACAGTGGGCGATGTGGTCGAACAACTGCACGTGAACAAAAACACAAACATCCATCAAATCACAGCAAAATCTACAAGTTCTAGCTGGCTGGCCATCATGGCATTAGAATCATGGAATTATAGATGGTCTCTTACGACCTTTTGGACAATTCAACCTGTTGGACAACCCCAAGCCTTTCTGCAACCAAGGCATCATTAATGATTAAATATAGTAACCCACTGTTTGATTTTCACTCAATACACTCACAGCATGCATGAAACAAAGTTAATTTTGTTAGTTTTAGGCAAAAGTGAATCGAAAAAGAAGCCATGGGTTATATACCTAATCGTACAAAATGTACATTCAGTAACAAAACAATACTAATGTGACAAATTTATCTTAAAAATTATAATGCACAATTATGGGATTAATATATTTCATCTCTCTTTAGATGCATGGGTAAAAATCAGTAACCATCTGACCACATCATCATACATATTATATACGCGCCATATTTACCTCCGCCAAGGAGGTTGTGTTTTCGTCCCCGTTCGTTTGTGTGTTTGTTGGTTTGTTTGTTGGTTTGTTTGTCTCAATGAACATGATATCTCAAAAAGTTACGGACGGATTTTGATAAAAAATTTTGGAACAACCAATTGATTAGAATTTGGTGGTGATCCGGATCCAGATCTGGATCCAGGATTTCTCATCGATCATAGTGTAGCAGTTTACTCTCTAACCACTTCGCTTTGTTTCTCTCTCTGTAGGGGTTTATGATGTGTCACCACCGCGTTATACCTGACTACAAATTAGATCGATAGCTATATATATATGCACAGTGCATGGTGTCAATGCAGAGTCAAACAACAATAGTCATAGAGAGTAGAAACAATGATATTGGGGTATCAGGACAAATACCCCCCCAGACAATCAGCCCGGACATTAACCCCCCATGCCATTCCCCCCGGACATTTACCCCTCGGACAATCAACCCCCGAACATTTACCCCCCCCCCCAGACAATTATCCCCCAGACAATTACACCCCGGACATTTACCCCCGGACATTTAGAGGAGGGGATAGAGGACGATGAAGAAGGTAGTGGAGGAGGAGTAGGAGGAGGAGAGGAGGAGGTAGAGGAGGTAGAGAAGGTGCATGTGGTGGTTGAGAGAGGAGGAAGAGGAGGGAAGAATGTCGGATGGAGGAGGAGGAGAGGAGGAGGTAGAGGCGAGCCCTGCTCTACCTCCTCAGCTCCTCCAGCCTAGCTCTCTTCTCGCTCCACCTAGTCTCCCTCTGCCTCCGTCCTTCACCCACTGTGTCTCTCCCACCCGCGGATTGCTCCCAACTCCTGGGGCCTCCTCCTCCTGCCTCCTCTCCACCCGTCCCCTTCGCACTCTTCGCTCTCCTCCCGTCCATGTCCTGCCTCCCACCTCGCTCGTCCTTGGCCCTCGGCTCGTCTTCACCACCGTTCCTCACCCTCCGTCCTCGCACCACCCTGCCCGCTGCCGCTACCTCCTCCCTTGCTCGTACCTCCTCCTCACCTTCTCCCCTCCTCCCCTCCTTCTCCACTACGTTCTCCCGCGCCGGGATGCTGGCCCTGCCTCGCTCTCTCCACTGCTCCTCGTGCCTGCCGTCCTCCTGCCTCCTCCTGCTCTTCCTCCTTCACGTCTCATCTACTACTCCCTCCATCCGATTTCGCGTGGCCCCTCCTGCCTCCTCCGGCCCAGCCCTTCCTCCCCAGCCTCCTCCTCCTCGCGTCGCCACTCCTTTCCTCCTCGTCCTTCCGCCTGCTTCTGCCGCTCCTCGGACTCCACCTCTGCCCCCTTCCTCCTCCTCCTCCCCACCCCTTCTGCCCCTCTCTCCTCCGCACACACTACCATTCTCCCCACGTTCTCGCCCCTCCCGCTCCATCACTCCTGACCACCTTCTCTCCTCGCTCCTCCGCCCTCCTCCGCTCTCCACCCTCCCCACTTCCTCTCCGGTCCTCCTCCTCCACTTCTCCCCCCTCCTCGCTCCTCGCACAACGGCTTCATCCAACTCCTCCTCCTCCACCACTTCTCCCCTTCTCTCGCTCCTCCCAACACCTTCTGCCGCCCCTCCTCCTGCCTCCACCTCCTCTCCCGCTCCTCCTCCTCACTTCCTCCACCTTCTCACCCCTCCTCCGTCTTCCACCACCTTCGCCCCACCATCGTCTCCTTCCTCGCACCGACCGGTTCTTCCCTCCTGCCTCGACGCTCCTCCCTAGTATCACTGGTTCAACATGAAACAAGTGAGGTAAAATGTCCGGGAAGTAAAATGTACCAAGAAGTAAATCCCCGGGCCTAATTGTCGCAAGGGGTAAGATGTCCCGGGGAGTAATTGTCCAGTCGCGCGTGGGATAAATGTCGCCAGGGGGTAATTGTCGCGGCGGTGTGATTGTCCGGGGGGTAAATGTCCGGGGGGTATATATCCGGGGGGGTAATTTGTCCGGGGGTGACTTGTCCGGGGGTAAGTGTCCAGGGGGTATAATGTCCAGGGGTGATTGTCCGGGGGGTAAATATCCGGGGTTGATTGGTCCGGGCGGCTAATTGTGCGGCGAGCGGGTTAATAGCAGGGGGTACTTTTGCCGGGGTAATTGTCTGGGGGGGGTGATTGCGCGGGGGGGGGCTGTATTTGGTCCTGAACGGCGAATATTGGGTGTACCAGCAAGATGGGGCAACTGTTTTACGCGTCTGTGGTGGAGTTTCTATCTCGCGATTGCTGCTTGGTTAGATATGTTTGCAGGAACGTTTAGAAAGTGTTTAGCCGAAAAAGACCGCTACATAGGCGAGGGACATTGCGTGTTGCGGGGGTGTTGCTAAATAAATCGGCATTGCTCTCACCTGATCCGGTAGCCGCAGTAGCGAGCAGACGCTTCCCGTCACGAGCTGCAACAGGCAGCGCAGCCAGAGTGTGCCAAAAGAACGCTAGTCTAACACCCAGCTCAATTTTTTCCCTCTGCCCCTGCACATTCGCACTAAGCGGTATAATGTCCAGGTAGACAGACTCGGCGCCCACATGGTAGCACGCCTGTACGGGTAAGGCAGGATGAGGACCAGGATGAACCGGGGTGTGGTGTGAGCGCGACTACACAACCGTGCGCATGTAGGTCAAGCTCACGCTTATATAGGGTAGGATTTGTTCTCGGCATGTTCTGTCCTGTTCCGTCGTAAGCGCAGTTGCAGCATTCCTGGCTGCAGATCAATGTGGGCTAGAACTGATGTAAACGATTGACGATGCGTAGACGAGATGCGCGGTGGTGGTGGGTGGGGTAACTTTAGATGCACAGCGTGTGGTCGGACGCCGCGACCGTCGATCCCGTGCAGAGTGATACGCAGCGGCTCGCATGCGCACGCACAGCATGCACGCCACGCACACAGCAGGGGACGACGCACAGTTCACGCACGCAAACGCACACACACACGACATACAGACGCGCACACAAAGCTCACACGCCCGAGCCCCCGACGTGAATACTAGCAGACGTGCACAACAGACCGCGCACACGCACCAGACGCGGCACCGAGGGCCGACGGCCACACGACAGGCGCGCGACGCGCGGCAGACCGCCAGGGCACGACACCAGCCACACACACACACCCGCAAGCGCAGCCGGGGGGCCAGGGCGGCGCCACCATCCACACAGCGCCACACACCACACAGCACGCATCACACACACCACACACACACAACGAGCACCCGCCACCACACACGGCACAGCACCACAGCAACACACAACACACCAGCACAGCAGGCCACCGGGCGCGGCCAGGGAGCGGCCCCACAGCACACCACAGCACACACAAACACACAGCACAACACACGGCAGCGGCGAGCGACGAGCGACACACACCACCCGGCACGACCCGCTGGTGACTGCAACACACACACAGCACACACACACACACACAACGACACACGACACACATGCCACGGGCCCACACACAGCACCACACACACACACACACACACACACACACAACACGCACACAAGGACGCACCCCCACACGCCACGCCAACAGAAAATGTCCCACTTATCGACCGTCCCATGCGATTCTCCTACGGATGCAAAGGGCTTTACCCCCCAAAAAAATGCTGACTAACAGTTACGCAGCACTTTTTGAAGCAAAGTGGCTGCACTTTCTCCCAGATCCAGGCGCTAGCTCACCCAGGGGATGCACGCATGAAGTCACACACTAATCCCCTCTACTCGCTGTGTACGACCATGGTATGTCCATCCCCGCTACACGGTGCGACCATAGGTGGGCAGAGGTAATCCATTACTGCACAGGCGTGCTGTGAATTCATCACGCACCATGTACCGTAATTTGTCATACATGTAGAAGCCCTCCCGTATACTCCCAGGCTTATAGTAACAAGTGACCATCCCAAGCCAACACGTGCCTGTTTCCCTAGCTGATGCAAGTTCATATATATGCCTATTTATATATGCTAGGTAATATAATTAATTAATTTAACCCATTTTTTTTGCACGTCCTGTCCTGATATCTTTATCTAACTTTCATAGGTGCACGATTAAACATGTCAACTGGCACGCATAGATAAGTGATGCCTATTTCATACATGCGAAAGAAAGTCAAATGTCGTGTTTGATGCATTAGTTTACGATGCGTGCCACCTACTTGCGTAACACATAATGACAAGCTTGAAAAACTATTCTGTTTGCTAAGCGGATTTAACAAAACGAGAACTCTATCACGAAGTAATTGCTCTGACGGTAAAAAAAACGACCGAGTCCAAAGTGACATGCAGATTTGCACGTATACGTAGGGTATTGCATCGTATACGATGGGAGAGGGAGAGAGGGGGGATAGAGACAGGCGGGAGACAGAGAGAAAGGCTTACGAAACACTGCCATCATAGATGGAGTGAACGAGTGTTACAGTTTCGCATTACGTCTACACAACGTTATACTGGTCGGCCATGCTGCCTTGCACACGTACGCTGCAAACACATGACGAAGCAAGCTATATCGATTATTCTACCCTATATGTATGTAGTACTCTATACGTTTAATAACTATTATAGCGCTGCAACGAAACCGAGCGACTTGCTGGCTGGCTGGCTGGCTGGCTGCCTAGTCTTGCGGATATTGCGTGCTGCTGTATGCCATGAGCTCGCTCGCTACAGAAAAGCAGCTCTACTCAAAAGCAATCGACCTAGTAAAGAGTACGAGTTACTTTATCACGCTCGCCGATCAACTGAACGTGGACGTATACAGCGCGCCGGCAGGTGGCACTTCTGCAACGCAGTCTCCCTCTGCAGAGAGTCGGTCGCACTATATCGCACACATGAGGCGCGTTCACACGGACGTTTTTGGCCCGAGCCTAATTAGGCCCGCGCTAGATTTGGCTCGAGCCGAGCGTTCACACGGACGGTTTTTCGGGCCGTGCCAACTTGGCACGAGCCAATTTGGTCCCATCGAAAACGTCGGACCAGGCCCGAGCCAAATTTTAGCACCAGCTTTCGGCGAGCGGTAGAGCGGTAGAATCGGTTGAGCGGTAGATGCTGCGAGTATCGAACGTGTACTTCGACGAAATAAAGTCCAAAACGGTATAAAAATTCGAAAAATATCAAGATTGATAATTGAACTCGGAACGTAAGTAAACACTCTGAATCGTACACAACACCATCTCGTGACATACTGCCAAAGTATCTGTAAGATATTTGTGCAATAAAATTTATTTGAATTTGAATCTGAATTTGACAGACAGTATTCACTTGCGTACGTGTGAACGCTCCGACTCAAACCGGCCCGAGCCAAATTTAGCCCATTTGGCTCGAGCCAAACCATGACCGTGTGAACGCGGCTATAGCTATATATAACTTTTTGTAAAGGCAAGACAAGTGTTGTCTCGAGTTTAATCAGAAATTATAGGACACCACGTGCCAGTTGAACGGGCTCCAAGGCAAACATTTCCTTCAAGGACAACGTAACCATTAATGACATTAAAGTTGGGAACACTCCTAATGGAGTATCACCCTGCACACAGACGCGAGAATATTCGAGACATACGCGCACATACAGACAATAGCACACATATTATTATCGTTATTATTATAATAATAATTATTATTATTGTGATATAAGCCTTCTTCTTAGCCTGCAACACAACTTAAAATAACATTACCAATCTACAAACGAGAAGGAGATGTAGGAAAAAAAAAGTTGAGAGAACGAAAAAAATCTACAGCGATAGCACTCGTAACTTGCTTCTAAACGGCAGCACTATGATTACGTCTGCTGATCGATATAGCAACTTGCAAACAACAATTCAATCCCTTCCGTGTTCGTGAATGACCTCTGAATGACACAGACAGTTTCTGCAATGGACACCCACTGAAACAACTACTAGTCACTACCGGCCGATGCAAGCACACTACTGCAGCTGGCTTCTAAAACTCATGCAGAGGGACCCTGAATTACAACTGCGCTTACAGTGACACGTCTTTGGGCCGATATCTCGAACCGCAGACAAAAACGGCGTCACCCATCCCTCATCAAAATATAACCGCGTGCAAAAACGCCCTTCAAAAATTGAGAAAACATACCCATAACCTTTCAGCAAGCTATCCCAAGCCCAGCTTTATAAATATCTCACCTCAATGAGAGAACTGCGGGGAGACATATTTCACTTTCACTCAACATACCAGCAGCTTATAATGATAATATCCAACTATACAAATACTACGACATGTCATTAGCTACTGATGATGAAAATGCTCCAGAATAACATCGAAATCGATAGCAAATGCTATTTAACTTTGCCGGTTCGCTACCTCAACCTTCGATCTTTCAGTCAAATGTTTTAGAAATGCTCATGACAAATCAATCAAGCTAACAGTAAATCAAACATCTACGGTGCACTAAAGCCTTCAATGACGAATCAGGTCCTAAGATGTACGATATTCACAACAGATATAAATAATACTCACAAATCTAATTTGATGTTTAAGATATTTTACGTACTATCCTAAATGTTCGGGCCATGCAACGTAAGCTGGTACAAAGCCTTGCGATAAACGCACAAAAAACTCAACAAATGGAACTAAGTGAATCTACAAGCAGGGGGCCAACCAGCTAAAGCTAATAACAAACTCGCAAAACTTCCAAGATGGAGGGGACGACTCTAAAATTAACTACAGATCAGCGACACTATGCAAACTAGCAAACTAGCAGACGGGCAGGGCAGACGGGCAGGCGGGCACGTAGTCAATTAGTTGGCATTTAGACTGCATGATAAAACAAGATTTTAGTCACGTACACCATCTTTCTTATCCCCGTGTGTAAGCAAAAGTTCGCGAAAACGTAAGGATACATCTCTCCACCCCCACCATCACACCGGCAGTAGAGAAAAATCTTGACGTTAACGTCAGACGAGTGATCCAATTAACTCGTAACCAATGGCAACAACATTGCCGGCAGCAGAGATGATAACTTCCATCAGCGGAAATCGACAGACGAACGTCAGAGGGGTCAAAGCTCTTAGGTTTGTGACCACTAGTGGCGAGGTGCGTATGCACGGACGCTCTCGCCTCTCTACTTAATAACCACAATGTAGCTGACCACCACCCCCCCTGACGTCAGTGGACATAAAAATAATATTTAAAGATGACAGTCAAGATACACAGATGAAAGTAGAGATATAAAAACACAGAGTGAGAAGGAGACAGAGAGAGATAGGGGGTTAGCCTTAGAGGGGGCAGAGTGGTGGGGAGAGAAAAAGAAAAGGAACCCCTTTTCTGTTTTCTCTAGTTGCCTCATCCATTACTATGATGAAAAGTAAGGGACTTAATACCGAGCCTTGATGTACCCCTACTCCAATGTCAAACTCCTCTGACGTCCCTGCTGTCGTTCTAACCCTTGATCTGGTTCCCACATACATTGACATCATCGCTGTTATCATCCTTTCAGGTACTTTTTTCCTTCTTAAGGCCCACCTTGTTAAGGACAACGTGTACGTATTATCAGGCCGGACGTGCTTCTTCTTTTTTTAATTTATCAAACGCGACGGGGAGGGAGGGAAAGATGTTATACAACATGGAATATGTGATAAAGGCATTTAGAAGCAAACAGCCACGGCGGTTCATGGACATCGTCCAATGTTTCAGAAGCACCGGAGCAAGCAGTAAGGCCATCCTTAAAAAATTATATGTTTGCTGTCCTCCGACCGACCCACCAAAATAGCCGCAACCCAAAAGTTTTTTTGGACATTTTGGGTTCCACATTTTTTTTTTTTTTACATTTCTCATAGTTAAGACTGAAACACAAAGCATGTGTGGCAAACATGAGGACAGACTTAAAATAACTATTACGCCTTACAAAAAAAAATGACCTACCTACCTACCCACTAAAAAAATCATGGGTCGGGGGACAGCAAACATAGAATTTTTTAAGGATGGCCTAATCGGCACTTGTCGACAGGGCCGTGACGAAAACTCGAGCACTGACCCTGTCCTTCTGTGACACCCCCTCCTACTACCTAGGACACACTCTCGCGATACAAATAACAACCCCACGTGTCTGTCACCACTGGCCGTGGGGCCACAAGCTATATCAGCACTGAACACACACGGCTTGTGGCCTTCATAACAATCAAGGCAGCGCAAAAAAAAACGAGAGCTAGAAGATCACTCGCCGGATCTGGGTCTCCGGACTAAAATAATGCGTATCGCCACCGTGTGCAGCGACTGCACCTATTTCTACACCGGCGCGTGGATGGATTGCCACCCGGGGCCGCACCTTCACGGAAAAAGAAGAAAGTCAGTGGTGACAGTCTCTACAATCTGCTAACGACTCCCCCCCCCCACGGCCTTCACCTCCAGTGCTTTCACTTCTACTCAGTAACCATGACAATATAACAGCGTGAACTTCCTCGTTCGTATCACCACGTTAGAAAGGGGTTGTGGTATCTTGTAGAGACTGTATATTGACCCACAGGCTCTTTGAAGAACAACAACAAATTCTTTTTATTCAGTGACGCCACATATCTAATTACTAAACGGTGTGTTACACTATCAGGAGTCTATCAATCAGGAGTCTATCAATCAGGAGTCTATCGATCAGGAGTCTATTGATACGAGTCTCCTGATACTATATGTAAACTTGACAATACTGGTCGAGCCAAGAGTAAAGGACTATCAGCACCTTTCCACGTTTAGACTATGTAAATAGAAAGGCTAGAACACCGATCGCACGTCTACTTACACCCTTGCCTGTGCCGACCATGATCCTTTGTGGGATAGCATAGATCTTGCTCTTCATCAGTACCTCTGATCCCGGCTCGAGTTCTATTAATAGCACACGGAAGTTTGTCCCGCCGAGATCCAACGCCAAGAACTTTCCTCGTTCTGTAAATAGATAAATCACGGAATTGACCACTATGCGTCTTTTTTTCATGCATGCACACGTTCGAAATATAACTCGGGGTCTCTGTGTTGTATTGTAATGTCCGTGCGTCATGAAAACAGCAGTCATTGGTCGTTAGGGATACATCGATCATGCATCACACAACATTCATCATTCTGACCTTTTCACTGACACTCATTCCACCTCCACAAACCGGTCGTCCCAGCTTTAGGCAAAAGTATCCCGACATTTAAACGCCGATGAGATTTCACTAGGCACAACGATATTTTCACTGTGTATATGTAAATCAAGGAGTGAACTGGTTTCCAAACATAATCACATTGTGGGTAGCACAGTTTCCTACTGGGAAAGAACTCGACAAAAACCAAGAATGTTCAACAAGGTCATAGTGAAAGAGTTAATTATAGTTAGTCATTGATCAATATCTAAACAGCCCATACATACATACATACATATATATATATATCCAGGTCTCATAGAAGTATAGTACATCACACAAACGTAATAATATTTCTTCTTGAAAATGTCATGGAGGACACTCCAAGAACACTCAAGCAAGTACGTGAAAATGTGCGCCGTATTCATTTCCTCGTGAAACTAGTAAGTTCATACTTGTACTTGATTTAGATTTCTTATTTACCTAACCCAACCAAATGCAAAGCTTACCTTGAGAATCGCTGGGCAACAATCTGTTTTCAGTCGCTCATTTATTCACGTCTTCATACTAACAAAGCTAATCATTGAATTCTCTCACATCTTTTTACTCTCAGTGGTTAGGATTCATTGAAAAAACTATCGTAATGTTTACACGTAACCATGGCACTAATTAAGTTTCAAAGCACTTCACGCGTAGCAGGGTGGCAGCTGCTGGCTGGCCAAATCCACTCTTTTTTTAAACTTTCACTAGTCTAAATTTTCTAAATAATACATCTCACCGCATTTGGTAACATGCGCAAATTTGCATGTCCCGTGAGAGTTTATCCGGTGAGTTTAGGACGGAGTATTAGTAGCGGTTCGTGCGAGAAATATAATGTTGAAGCAGATTATCACTCAGTCTTGGATATAAATCTGAAAACCCATTGCCAGCCAAACGTTGATGTCTACTAAATAACCTATAGTCAAATACATATATTATATACAAGACATAAATTAAGCCAGGGCTGCCTAAGAAGGTACCAGTCTTAAACTGGGAACGGGTTGTTATTTCCAACTCTGGGACATATAATACGTACACCACGAGTCGAAAAATGCTTTACTTGGCCATGAGCATTCACTGACATGCCTAGCTCTAGTTGCAAACAATGTCGCTTTTTGCAAGCTAATTGAATGCAAGCAGGCGAATACATACATGGAAGACTGGCTGTAACATGGGAAGTTTGCTTACAATTACATCAGAAGTAGATAATAGGGAAGGCGTGTGACTTCAATAAACAAGGGAAATTCGTCATTTACTAGCCTTAGAATACCTACGATTTACTACGCGTAACTCAACCAACTTGAGCTCAAATCGTACGTACACAGTACATTCGCCTAGCATCGTGCGAAATCGTTTCCTCGTATACACCCGCAATCCGGAGATACAGACTAAAACGTACGACACGATTATCCATTCTGTTGCCAGCAAACCAAATGTATAAACCGCCTAACTTGAAACAAAAGGACGCTACTATACGGTTTATACATTATATCTCCGGATTGCGGGTGTATACGAGGAAACGATTTCGCATGATGCTAGGCGAATGTACTGTGTACGATTTGAGCTCAAGTTGGCTGAGTTACGCGTAGTAAATCGTAGGTATTCTAAGGCTAGTAAATGACGAATTTCCCTTGTTTATTGAAGTCACACTCCTTCCCTATTATCTACTTCTGCTTACATGTAACATTATGTTTACACGGTGAGTGCTGGAATGGCACGTATCAATTCGAGGAAGAGGGTTTTTAGTGTGAAAGCAAGCAACGTGGCCCGTCATAGCAGATTGTTTTGCGAATATATATATGCGTCTTGTTTCTCACATGGCGTATATTACTGCAACGTCATTTTTTGTTATTTTGTTGACACTGCTGACATAGATCTTTTACTTATTATTTTTTCCTTTGCTGTTCCTACAGACAGATTGCCTTGCCACCACCATATTATAATGGTTAGGGTTAGGGTGAGGGTTAGGGTTAGGCATGAAATTTATCGGCATGTATATTTCCCTAAACGGCTGAATTTTATGACCGACTAAATTAACTGAATTAATTGTCATTATGAATACCATTAACGTATGCTGGGTCTGAAATTAGGGCAACATTTCTGGGTGTCAGCAGGAGCTATTGAGCTTAAGGGTGCAAAACGTCAACCTAAGCACTAAGCCAGCAGATGTCTAGGACAGATAAAAGGGTAGAGGTCAGGCAACCTCTGGTCCTCCAGGTTGGGGGATGGGCACATTGACAGACAGTCACGGCAGCAACGGCTGTTCAGAAGTTACAGAAACAGTGATGCTGAAATCCCTGCAAGCATCTAGCTCTAAAAAAAGAAACCTCCCTCACAGGCAAACAGCTACGGAGAAACGTGACAGAACCTGCAAGGACCCTGTATTACTAAACGACCTTTTTTATTAACCAGGACGACCATGAAAATCACCACTTCAGACTGAAAGGTCTCCACAGGCGACTGGTAAAACAACCAGGTTATCTAGATAGCAAGAGAACTAAGTGAGTGTATAATCATGGTTCCTGGATGGTGTGAAACCCAGAATACGGTGAGCCGCCTTCTAAATAATGATAAAGCTTCAGGAAAAAAGGAACTCCCTCCAAAGCAATTATAAAACCCAACCTGTACAGTCTTAGATACTGTTTGGGTTATTCAACCAAACATTGTGATAATGGGACTTGACTTCAGAGGACTAGAAAATAGGACAAGTAATTAAGTCTGTACGAGGCATTTACTCAACCGCAATGAAAAAAAACATTTTTGTCTGTCTCGGGCAAGATCTAAACAGAGACATCTGCGAACGAACAAAAACAGCAGTGGATGCCAGGGTAAGAGAGAAACAAGAAGGAATCTTTTGCTCAGGACTGACCATGCACAGATAAAATCAACCTCCCTTTAAATTTAATATTAAAGCACACTATCGAACAGAACTCAGCCTTGCATACCAGCATTAACTACTAAAGGACATTCGATAAGCTAGACAGAGGCCCTCTGGATGTTGCTCGGGCACTACGGAATACAAGCGACGCTGCATTGATGGAAGCCACCTACGATGGATCAACATGCAGAGTTATAAATGCTGGTAGGCCTTCGGCAGCTTTCACAGTGCTGGCTAATCAAAGCAAAACAAGGATGCCTTCGTTCTCTTTTGCTCTTCTGGACAGATATATAAATTGTATCGTGGAAGACGATCAAAAACAAAAGATATGGGATCCAAAGGTCTTTCCGAACACAACTGCATAATTCTCCTGACTTTGCACAGCAGAATGACCTAGTTCTTCTTTCACTCATCCACCAATAAATCCAAGATAATGACACTGAAGGGTTGTGATTTTTCTCTATGTAGTACAGGGGGCATGCTACTCATTTTGACAACTTTTTGTCCGTGACTCATTTACTATTTATGCATTCATTCGTTCATTCATTCATTTATTCATTCGTTCATTCATTCATTTATTCATCCGACTCCCGTAGGGGTCAGTGAAGCATTGACAATATTTTTCCTCTACGACCATCTACCTCGCATCGCCACTTTCATTTCGACTGGTTCAAGCCCAGTGTCTCCAACTAGTAGAGATTTCAGGGTGATATTGGGACGACCAACACGACGCCTGGAATCTGGCGACCACAGCAGTAACCTGGCTGCAGGCTCTTCGTGACGAGAAACATGACCCATACATGTATGCATATGTTTTAATAAGATATACCTTGCACTTCTCATGCAGGAGCGCATCCTTTCCCCAGAGGATTGCAATCGGGAACCTGGATGTTGGTATGTTGCCTATTGTAACCGACTTGTTCCTTCTGGAATAGGCTGGATCACTTACCAGTGCCATCGGGTATTGAGCGTACGTAGGATGGGAACATCTTGACAGCGGCCGTCGCATTGTCCTTCCTGCCTAGACCCCGGTTGAAAGCTGTCATCATCAAGTCCCGAACTTTGCCATAGGTTTCATCTGATAGTTTCAGCTCAGAGAGCAGAAGGTCAATCTATTAGCAGAGAAATAGAAAATACTTGGGTACAGACGGCATACAGCACAGCATCAGGCAAGCATGCTCGCATGTTCTATATATAGAGACATATATAAATATTGATGTCTGAATTTACCCCCTTCCTATACAAATAAAATCGCATCAACGAGGTACGGGTACATGAATTTTTTTTTACAAACAGTCGAGATGGATGGTCACACAATTTTATGTTAAATCTGTTGACAATTCTGCTTTTGCGTAGACGTCACAGCAGACGTCACTAACATGTAGCAGATGTGCTGTAGGGTAATATTACGCAAGGGTTAGTCTACATTTAGCAAACAGTCCCCGCCAGCAGTGGCATTGCCCTTTACACCAACAACTCTATTCTGAGCTGAGATTTAACTGCTTCGACACTCACTGTATCATCTCTATATAAAGGACAAGGGTCGCCAAGCAGATTTCATCCTCATATCTTGGCTGATGTTAACCAAACATTTGAACACCAGTAGTATGGCAGTATTGATTTGCAATACAGTCAGCAGAATGTTCCGTGGAACATGTATCACACAGCGCATCGATAACGCCACAAATTTCTACAAAACGTTGGATGAATAAGAAGAGCATGAACATATCTGTACTGTATAGTGTTTATATGCTCGCGATAATAGACATATATAGCTTTGATACTTGAGTCACATGTATTGACGTGCTGTATAATTAATAGAAAGGAAGAATGGGGGTGGGTTGTAGTACGCTTGACTGCATGGAAAGTCGATCGCCCGCAACAATCCAACCACATCTAATACCACGCTCATCACTCGTAAGCACGCTTAGCAACCATCTTTACCTGACACGTATATTATTCTATCCCGTCTCAACGTCTTACGCCCTTATATTTTTTAACGATTCTCCCACACCCAAACCCCGGCAGCATAAATGACTGTGTGACTATGGAAACAGCATACGTTACATACGGTCAAGCGTACATAACACTATTAACAGCAAGTCTATTATGTACTCTACTCTATATGTACTCTATGTACATAGAGTACAATGTACTGTACATACAGTACTCTATGTTTACTCTATGTACATCTATTATGTATACTCTTGATACGGTCAAGACAACCCGAGTATGCTACACCACCGCCAACGCAGGTCTCACATCGGGCACATGAATGGGGCGTGACCTGCACCTTGTATTCTGCATGGGTAGATGCATGCACACACTACTACTAGTACTACAGTACCCTAGCTACTACACCGAGCAGGTAGAAGAGAGGGCCCAAGCCTAGTGTTTAGCACACCGGATTAGTTTAGCACATATGCGAAAACATATTTGCGGGGTACCAGACTATCCCTGATCCGAAGAGAGGACTGCGGCGCCACTCGCTTCCTAGCGTGCGTGCGTGCGTGCGTGCGTGCGTGCGTGTGACCATAAACTGACCTTCATGCGCCTAGTCGGCGCATCGTGGGCCGTCGTTCGCGGATACTTTGGCACTAGCGCCAGACACTGAATGAGATCGGTGGCCTTCACGCCATCGTCTCTCTCCTCACAGCAGTCTTCACCACCGGCAGGCGCCGTCTGCTTGACGCACTCATTGCACCTACAGTTACTAGTAGTAGTAGTGTTCATGGCCGCGGCTCGATCGACTCCCAACAACGATGCGATCGGTACGCTCTAGACAGCAGCCTCGTGGCCAGCCTCGGTCTCAAACTCACGGCGTATTTCACTGATCGATGCGCTATCGTTCGTTGTACGAAATTTATGCACACTTGTACAGATAGATAGACACACACGCACACAAACACACAGGCGCGTATTTCGCCTACACGGTTATAGTACTAATAGTAATACTAATAGACTTGCTCAACGCACACACCCTCGCTAAAGGTCAATTATGGTAGCGGGTAGCGGAGATGCGGTGATATTTATACAGACGTATGACGTCAAGCCGGCACATGATGCAGCAGCAGCTCCTACGTGACGCGCTTGCAAACGAAGGCATGCGCTGACAGATCGTGGGGGCGGACCTACATGCTGCCACTCAACGTGCAGCTCGGTCACGAGTGGGGGGTGTTTCATTACAAGTTTTATTACTACTCCGATTCTAAGAACTGCCGGCTGTAGAGAAAAACGCGGGCACCTGCGTAGCTAAAGCCCGACCAGGCTGTGTGACCCATAAGCCAAGGATAAAGCGCGCGGGCAAGACGGCACACACACAGCTACGTTCATTGGCTAAAAGCCTAAAACAATCGAGTAGTGCGGTTAGGAATTTTCGGAATTATTTAATTTTAAGAAAAACTTCAAGGTTCGATGAATGATGCACTCGTTCACTTCCGAAAGCGGGTAAAAATGCCAAATTTTTCCACTTCGGTGCAAAATGCATCGGCCGGGCCTTTCATTAGTTACGAAAAGCAAACAGTCTCGCCAAACACCTACACACAGTCCTAACTGGTCACGTCGTTGACGCCCCATTCATGCCCATCAATGAAGAAGGCAGGGCTTATTCTGATTTATACGGAAATGCGAAAATGCAACAGAAGGACGTAGCGCAGTGCGCTAAACAGCGTGTTATTTTCGTATTTGTGCCAAACTCTATCGTAGGAAACCGTTCTAGCCTAGCAGAATGCCCTAGTTCCTGAGATCGACGATTTGGTGGTCCAATGGGTCCCCATGTGTAAAAATATAAAACACTAGTGCGGCGTAGGCTGTGATTGGAAGACACAAAGTGTCAATCCTCGGCGCGCCTCGGCATCATGGCCGCATCATGTCTAGTGGGAGTAAACCATTGAGAATGAGAATTGGAGCATGGAGAGTGTACCCCTGCAATACTCTGTGTGTAATATTGCAGTGTGCTTTTTTTTGTTTTCTTGCTGCCTTTCACTTTCAGGGCAATGTTTTGCCTCCAGTGAGATCGAGCCAGAGATTTTACCTAGCCGAGAGAACCTAAGAAAGTTCTAAATTCTTGTTCTTGTTTTTTTACAATTTGCCAAGGCAAACTTACATAAAATATGCTAATTATTTAATTTACTCGAGCACCACAGTGCTTGCTTCAACATCATTCAAGTTTGAACGGACCGTTTACCGATCCTAAGCGTGGTGTACTGTGTAAAATTTAAATTTTAGGGGAAAATTAAAAACACGTATATTTTTTAATGTAAACAGTAGTGAGCTGCCTATGTTATCGCCCCGTGGCAGGTGTTAGCTTTGTAGGCATGAAGCCTAATGTAACATCTGTTTTACACGTGACGTATAAAATATTGCTTGTTTCCCCTTTACCGACCGTATCGCCAAAACGCCGCTACTCGACACATTTTATTGGCCGATTAAAACAAAACAAAAAAAAATCAAATTCGTTCCGCAAAAACATTCTACACAAAACAGAATATACAATATACATACACACATCTTGTCAAAACAAAATAAAAAAGATTTTTCACCTACCTACCTACTCGGTACCCTGAGAGGCGAGTAGAGGTAAAGGGGAAACAAACAATTTTGTAAGGGTGGCCTGATCAGACAGATCTATGTCCTGGCTACAATACAAGGTTATCGAGCACGCACAGTCGCTTTACAAAATTACAAAACTTATGGCCGTGCGTAAATGTCACGTACACTGCAGTACTTTAAAAGGCAGCCGAAGCTGCGGCTGACACGATGCAGCAAACACCGCTGGAGCCTCTCCAAACACTAAATATACACAGCAGGGAGAAACAACCGCAAGCCAGAAAGCAGCTGAGGGCCGGAGGTGGGGGCATGGCGACGGAAACTTCCGACGGGAGAACGCAGCACACGTCCCGGGCCGGCATCGTGAACTCTGCTCTGCCCTTTCCCCGACAAAATCACGATATTTATGAATGAAGAAGTCATTACAACCGGCGGGTGACGCAACCGCGAGCTATACTGTACTCGCGGGAGATGCTGTGCTAGAACTCGTCTGCTGCAAACCACCAGCACCACGACCAGCAGCAGCAGCAGCAGCAGCAGCAGCAGCTCAGCAGCAGCAGTAGCAGCGTGTCTGCTAGACTGCCACCAAACATCCTCCTCACTGCGCACAACCGAGAGAAAGACCGGATACCAGAGAAGCGTCGCCTGAGAGGCGGCGTCTGAGTCGTCTACGCGTCTGCCACGGATAAGCCATCGTAGAATGTTGTGTATCCGCCCACGCAGGGCGACCGCCGGCTGGCACGACTGCAGGCAGCTGCTTACCTGCGCTTTCTCTCAGGAAATGATCATAGCGCAATCGCACCGTACACATTGAAAGCGAGCTAATAGCGAGGAAGATGCGACGAATTGAAATAAATCGCTTCGCTTTTCGAATCGACTACAGGATATTGCCTAGCCTATTGACTCCGTACATCCCCTGACATAACTCTAGTACTATAGCCCGCGTACATTGACTGTCGGCAGTCAATGTCCAGCGGCAGGCAATTGCCTGCGGCAGTCAATGTACGCGGGCTATAGTACTAGAGCTACCCCTGACACTGCTGCGTAGTAATAATACGCATTCATTCATTCTTCGTCTGTCATTGTCATATGAACATATGACATAACAAACAGGGGCCATCGTAGCAAGAAATGTATCATGTCAGAAACACACCGTTATACAAACCCTGATTTACCTATCTGTCTTGAGTGCTTGTCAGGTAGCGTAAGCCAATCATCACTAAGAGAACGACATTTTAAAAACATCGCTTAAGCCCGGCGCACACGTGAGTTATTTTACTCATGTAAAATAACGCATGAGTCAAATTACTCAACGAAAATCCGCCGCACACGTGAGTAAAATAACGCATGCGTCAAATTACTCAACGAAAATCCGCCGCACATGTGAGTAAAATGGCTCATGCGTCATTTTACTTGAGTAAAATAACTCACGTGTGCGCCGTGCATTAGTAACAAAGTGCAACAAAGTCACGAGTGTGACAGGCACGAGTGAAAACCTGTCTAGCTTGACCGCCATAGCAAAAATATCCGAGATGTGGGGCTGGTTATTTCTCACATACAGATAGATTGATTGTATCTGAGTCTGGCCATGCGAGACTAAGAACTGACAGGGGTGGGGAAGAAGATTTTTGTTGGCACGAGTCCAGAGATCGATTCGGGTAAGGATTTAAGTTGCACCTAGAACAGGTTTTGTTTTTCCTGCTACAGAGCGAGTGTGTGTATAATATTTAATAATTTGAGAGACAAGGTATCTGCTATGTCAATCAGACATACCACATGAACATGACTCAACCATGCATCACTAGTAATAGCGAGTCAACTCTGTGTTAGCGATCACATCGATGAAAATACACCTGTCTATAGAGGACAACCTCTATAGAACATACACCTGTCTATAGAGGACACTTTTGGCATTTCTCCTGAGTAGCAGAAACCAGCTGTCAATGGAAACCTGTCTACAAAAGACAATTTTTAGGTTTCCCTAGCTCTACCGGTGTAGCCCCATCACTCCCGCTACAGGCAGCTGACAGGGCTTCCTTCCTTCGAGTGACTTTTATAGGTGCGACTGCCTGTACACTAAAGATTTTCCTACTTCTACTGCAACCACACAGATTATAATAACCTGCTTCACTGAAGTGACCTTCACACGACCTTTAGTTATTCCAAAGGTGTGCTGATTAGCAATATAAACTATAAGTATATAAAGGTAATGTATGAACACATTCAAGCAGGCACACAAATCTGTGTGCCACTGCCAGAGATGATGGTCTGTTAAATATTGCTCAGATCAGTTGATATTGCTCGACACCGTAAATAGTAATTTAAGTAAAACAATTATGTCCACTTTTTCTTTTCACGTGATTCTGTTCACTTTTTATGGTTAAATTGCTACATTAATTATGCTTCCTATTTTGCTATTTCTGTTCGATGTGAACAAACACTCGTGACTTATACATAGCCAATAACAAGCATTTAATGTTGTGATCAATATATCAAATCGCCCAGGTTTTGGGATTTTTAACTAGTTGAGACAAAATCTTATCAGGTAAGAATTTGAGGATACATTTAGTCCCGTTAGTTCTTACTTTTCACATAAACAATTGCAATCATTTTTTTACAAATATACACTGGTCATAGAAAATTCGTAATGTAATCAATTTAAAGAACAGTGGCAAAGCATTCAGTCTCCCTTTAGTCATAATAGATTTTAAAACTAATTTATGCCATTATGAATATTTTCTGTCGCTTATATTTTGTAATTGACCAACTTGATACAAATTACATCAACATCAACATATGGAGTACAAGCAAGCCCTTATCACTCCTTATCGTAGGCTTTAGAATGTTTTACTAGCTAATAATCCCAACTAGTGTATCCTGAAGGTAGAAAAAAGATCATGTATGTGGGCTAACAGAATAAATGTGGGATCTGTAACCTATCCTGTTCCATCATACGTGTGCAATAGTGGTCACATCCTGGCTCTCATCATTACAACAAGAATAACACTTGGCCAGTAGGTGGATGTGGCAGATGGCATACCAGGCCACATTTCCTTAACTTCACAACCAGTCAAAACACGTTACAGTAAAACCGAATAACAAGTAATGTTGATGTATGCACTATGCAGTTAATAAATCTGACATTAATAATAATAACGTGGATATATATGTGTAAATCTATGCACCTGTCATTTACTCATGTTAATGCATGTACCTAAAACATGAAAGGTAGCTATTATTATTGTTTGCATGTGCATACAAATTTTACTCTAAACAATACATTGAACAATTGCATATAAATATATGTACAATGTCATGGATACAGTTTACACTATCATAAAGGACACCTATCAAGAGTCAAAATTAACACTTTTCAAAGATAAGCACATCGGCTGCTGGAAAAGTGAAAGTAACTATGTATTTCTTAGTGGAAAAATTTGGGCGAGAAAATGTTTT